AGATCTAGCGAAGGGCCCTCCACATCATCGGAGCAGGTACTTGGCTCCCTAGCCTGGCACTTCGTCGCCTAGTAGCTGCACTTGCCTATACCTACAAGCTCTGCTTTCTAGATGCATCCAGCCCACTGAAGCAGATGCTGCCCAAACCAGCCACTCACCGTGCCCCCGAGACAAGACCTACCCGTCAGTCTCTCCAGCTGCAGGATTCCCCGGCATCCATACCAGACGACAACTGGCCTGCCTGCCAACACCCGGAATAGCTGCCTCCAAGGATTCCCTGCTTGCACCGTTGCAACGTGGAATGACCTGCCACCAGACCTGTTCCACCACCCACCCGCCCAGCCCCACATGCAAAGCTTCAAGAAAAAGGTGTACCGTCACCTTCTTGCTCAGGACTGGCTCTCTGCTACTGATGCACTTTGAATCTGCTCACCAACGCTTTCCCTGTTCTTATTAGTGTTCAGCTGCTTACCTTATATTAAACTCTGCTGCCATCATCTCCAATATTCTGATTCTCATGCACATGTCCCAGAACCTGCTATCCTTCGCAATCCCCATCACCAAGAGCACTGTGCTCTTCTATCTCCCACCTCTCTCTCTCTTTCTCTCTCTCTCTCCCTCCCTCTCCCTCTCCCTCTCTCTCTCTCTCTCTCTCCCTCTCCCTCTCCCTCTCCCCCTCCCTCTCCCTCTCCCTCTCCCTCTCCCGCTCCCTCTCATTCTCCCTCTCCCTCTCTCTCTCTCTATCTATCTATCTATCTATCTATCTCTCTCTCCTTCTTCTCTTCTTCTCCCCCCCCCCCCACGAGGTTTTGACGACCTACCTAACAGCCTAAGTGTGAATTTGATTTTGTTTCTGCTTGCAAAGGTTGGGTTTCTTTGTGTGGATGTATACGGCTTCCAAAACATTCAGCAATCTAGCACTGCGTACACGTGACACAATCGAAAAACAATCATCTGAATACACAGCACGACAATCAGGATAATGAAGTTGAAGACACCACTGCAGCTGTACTTATGGTTGATAAATATGGTGGTAAAGACACACCTGGCAGTATGGCGGTAAACACACGCCTGCCCACACACGCTCTCTAGGCTGCAAAGTTATGGCACAGAGCTCTCCTTCTCACCACCACCACCATCAGTTCACGCCTGGCGCCTGGTCGATGCATGGCTGGCGGTATCCGGCATAGCAGGCTGGTACATCAAGTAGCGCATGGCACATAGATGATGACACAGCAACGACATAGCTCGATTGCGACGCACGTTTCGTCCCCGCTGGACTCATCAGGCAATCTTCTTCTTGGATGTCTTCATACGGAGCTTGATTCGGGAGAATGAAGTTGAAGACACCACTGCAGCTGTACTTATGGTTAATAAATATGGTGGTGAAGACACACCTGGCAGTATGGCGGTAAACACACGCCTGCCCACACACGCTCTCTAGGCTGCAAAGTTCTGGCACAGAGCTCTCCTTCTCACCACCACCACCATCAGTTCACGCCTGGCGCCTGGTGCGTCGCAATCGAGCTATGTCGTTGCTGTGTCATCATCTATGTGCCATGCGCTACTTGATGTACCAGCCTGCTATGCCGGATACCGCCAGCCATGCATCGACCAGGCGCCAGGCGTGAACTGATGGTGGTGGTGGTGAGAAGGAGAGCTCTGTGCCAGAACTTTGCAGCCTAGAGAGCGTATGTGGGCAGGCGTGTGTTTACCGCCATACTGCCAGGTGTGTCTTTACCACCATATTTATCGACAATCAGGATGCTCAAACAAATGACTAGCAACGAACGACTCATACTTATCAGAACTAACATCAGGACAATCAGCATGTGCGGTGGACGGTGGACACATCCGATATCACATGGCTCGTTAGTTACATGTATGTCCAGTGGTTGTCTCTTGTTGTCGCACTACACGTCACGCTTATTGAGTTTTCTCGCACTTGCACCTTTGTGTCATTATTGCAATTCTCGCTGTTTACTTTAGCTATCTTCTTTTTTGTGCTGTTTTACCACCTTCTTACTGTATTTAATCCACTGTTCCTGTTCCTTTTCCCTTGTCTGTATTTCACCTGACGAGAAGGCTTGAAAGTATACTTGTGAAGACAAAAACTTTCAAGATGTTTGTAATGAGCCTGAAATGTGTCCTTTTCATGAGTATTATTTTTATTACAAAAATGTATTATCTACGCATGCATCTACGCAAGAGTCACCACCAGTCAATTAGGACATGTGTCAAAGTATTGAACGTTTTCGTTCCCGTCTTGTCAAAATAGTACAGGGAATGATGGAAATAAGCTAAAAGACTTCAACTATATGGAAAAGAAATTCAGAGATACATCACTCCAATTATGTGTAGAAGTGACACGAAAAAATAGATGTGAAGAGTCAAGAAAACAGCATGCAAATCCAATAAGTGACAAAAACGTAGTGACAAGAAAAAGAGAGAAATATCAAGAGATCAAGGGATCTATTTCGCACCTTCACGACGAACAGTGCCAAACAACTGCAAAGACAACACATTCTCCTTCTGAACACAAAGCTCAGGGTCTAACTTATGTATATACAAAGCTTCCAACACGGCAAGATGTAACAAAGACCTACCACGCGACAAAACAGAGAATACATCGTCGGAATACCACTCATGACAACTAGCACTGCCCGACAGGTGACACTTGATTGCCGAAGTACCTTTTCCCTGACCCAACGACTTGGCCGTTGTCACCTCTGATCCTGCCGCTTGCGAGTCTCTCCCATTACGCCCTGCGTCCCTGCCATTCCGATTGCCTCCGTCGACATCAGTGTGCTGCTCCACGTCCAGTCTGTCCTGCTTCCGTAGTCTACCTCGTTTCCTCACAATAACCGTTGTTGGCACTATCTATCTCTTCATCCTGAAGAAATAATATTATGTTACTGCTCACGGATGAACCCTGGCAATGAACAGCAAATTCAAATTCAACTCGGTTGAGCTGTTCGTTTGCTCGTTTTAATTGTATTCTATTTCGTCACGCATTTTATATCGCTATAAATATCCTGTTTGGCTATTGTCGCTTCGGCTTATGGGAAAGCTATACATGCTGTGTATATCTACATTGCATGATGCCAACGTGAAGAAGCTTCTAATAATAATAAACAAACAAATCATGAAAAGGTTCACTAAAGTCTGTGATGGACAAAGAAGAAAAGTGGGATAATAATGTCGCGGTTAATGATGAACAACGAAGGAATTTCAAATAAACTACTTCCTCCGCATCATCGAAATTGTCGCAGTTTGACTAATGACTTGTCACTTGTTACTGACAACTCCATAAGCTAAGCCATTCAAAACTTATTACACAGTATGATAGTCTGAAGACTAGAGTAACGTTCCAGGACAGTTGGACTGAGAGTTTTCACGCAGAAATGAAGTCCTCGTCGTCGCTGATGTCAATGGACGCAAAAATTTCGTTCCGAAATATTTCAAGGAAGGTTGAAAGTTGGTCGCGCCTCATCTCAAACGCTTTGACTTTCTCCACAGGACAAGAGCTGCTATGCTTGTCGTCTGCTAGCTCTGGATGATTTCTACTTCACCACCAACGAAGCCTAGTAAGAATACACGATCGTTGCGAGGTCGGTTGATTACCGTCGGCGGAATCACCTCGATCTTGAAATGAACTTTTTTTAGCCGTGGCATGCCCATTTATTTTAGCTGTGTGGTCACAGCTCATGCAGGTAAGTGTACTATATATCACGTCCAGCGCGCCCTCTTTTTCAGCATCACTGCCCGGCCCTGATTCACTGGTATACCATGGTACGGCACCTGCGCGTGCATCACTAGCACTACGTGTAGAGTCTACACGGCTCTTGCAGGTACAATCATGTACTGAGTGTCTCGGCCAGAGTGACAAATTTTATCGCTGTTGCAGGCGTTTAGTTTGCTGACCCCTCGATGTTTCTCCAAGCGCTGCCACTTGTTCCACGAAGTCATTCTCACCCCAGCTAAGGTAAAACAGTGATGAGGCTTGAGTGAATGGCCATAAGCACGAGAAATGTGCAGGCTGCAACGCCTGACTGATCTCACCGAGTCGAAATTACCATCGCAACGACATCAGTGAAGAAATTGCGTCTAGTTCAAAAATTCCAGCTGCCAATAACAGAAAATAGAACTTTGCCTTCACCCTATACTGATGACTATCGCCTATGTCCAATTCCTTGCCTCTGGTACGAGTGCTGGTGAGTAAATACCCCGTTTTATATCAAAAGTCAAACTGCGACAATTTCGATGACGCGGAGGAAGTAGTTGTTGTACAGCTCTCATCAGGAAGAAAACATTATTCTAAAATGTATTAACAAAAATTGGACAGTACTAATTTTTTGAACTTCTGAAGTGAGAAATAACGCCTGTGTTGTGAATGGCGTTGTCGTGGGAAAGGTCTTCAGTGAATGTGTGTCAGATCTCGTCATGACTGTAACTCCTACTTGATTTCCTGGCTAGGTGCTTCTATGCTAGGCTATGCTATGCTTGATTTGTTTGAATTTTTTCTGGAGCTTTGAATTTATTGATTTGTATTTGACAGTTTGTCTTACCTGGTTTCTAGGGAGTTCTTCTTCTCTTTTGCTTCAACACAGTCATGTAATTTCTTTCGTTTCCTTTTCTATCTTGCATCCTCTGTAATCGTTCGTGCCATGTAAATAAATACTGATCGGTCTCAAGTTCTTGGAACCTTTGAGTGTATGGTACACAACAGCCTGTAACAAGGCTCTCATCCACTCCCTGACACTCTCCTATCTCAACTCACTGCCTGCATCTTCTCTTCCTGTGCTCTACCCCCTCTCTCATCCTCCCTGTCCAATTGCCTATCAAGCCTGCTGCAACACTCTGTTCACCTCTCTGTTGACTGCATTCCTTGTTGTTGGAACATTTCACTTAGTGACAGGGTTTATTCATTTTTGTTAATGGTTTAAGGCGAAGACCTTGCAGTTATACTAACCAGGAAATTAAATGTGCTTCTCTTCCAGATCCTACATCAGGATGGGCGTTACGTAAAAACGATTGGTAACGGTACTCTTAGTGGATCGTATGGTGTTGCAGCACTGTCTCTGCCCCAGCATGGTATTTGCTATGCTGTGACCGATATCAATGACCACAGTGTGAGAGTAAGTTAGTGCTTGTCTGGTGTTTATTGCTGAGATTTCTCATTCTAATGTAATGGTTGCTATGATTAGCCCCAAAATGGACTTTTTCTCTGTTCTCACAGCAGAGAAAGTAAATTGGTACTGAATAGATAGAATGCTATAATCGGTAACCAAGATATTGAGCAGGTGAAACATTCAATAAACTTGTGCGAGAACTGGATCTATAGGGACCTTTCGCATCTGCTGCGAATCGAATGCGAAACGAAAGTTTGATTCGGCTCGTCCTCGTTTCGTTGAAAACAGATTCAGGTTTCGCAAGTCGTCATGCAAATGCCCATGGCAACAACAAATATGGCTGGTAGCTTGGCGTACGCATGTTTAGGGCCTATCCACACTATGTAATAAAAACGGCGTGCCGTTTCAGAGTATGTGACGTACACGCGATGCCCTGTCCACTCTGCACTCTGTCACCAGAGTAACTATGTCGTGTACCTGTTCAAATTTTCTCTAGATGCCGCGATTGCACAATGTTTGTAGCGCGTAGACCAGGAAAGGACTCCCTGGCTTGGTCTAGACCTACCCAGCTAGCTACAAAACAAGTGGCGGCCCAGCGATGGCAGCACTGACGCCAAGCTCAAGGAGTATTACCCTGAACTCTGCTCCAGGTGCGGAAATTTGGCCACCGTGTGACTCTCGCCGCAGCGCAGCGCCAAGGTCGAGGCCGGCTGTAGCATCGCTTGATGAACCAGTGTTGGTGGCCACCGTGTATTTCCAGTAAAAGTCCCTGGCTTTGACCTTCATGTTGTCAATTTTGGTCACAAGAGGGTTCTGCTTCCTCTCCAAACAATTCTTTTAAATCAGTACTCGATTAAATTTTCAGTGAATTCTCCAAGTCTTGCTACTACACCTTCCTCTTCATCAGGTCCCAGGATTTCTCTGCATGTCCAGCCATGACTGTATCAATGTCGCCTCCGAGTGGTCGCTGAAACGGACGTGTGGCAACTCCAAAGCGAAAACAAGCGGCAGCTGGAAACAGCAAGAAAAAACTGCGATCCGCAAACTCCATCGACTTCCACACAACAAACACTGCGAAAACGGCACGTAGATGAGAAACGTGCTTTGTACAGTGGTCCGCAACTCACGTTCCGCGTGAATCCCACGTTCCCCGTTTTCGGCCATTTTTCGTCACTCACCTTGGCAACAAGCATGTTTACGGCGTGTCTACGTGGTTTTCTACCTTGTCTGGACAGGCCCTTACACACACACATCCACCTGCATGGATCATGGAATCAAGGGGAAAATGTGTGCCGGACGAAACTTGTGTGCCTGGCAAAAAAGGTGTATCTGACGAATTCGGAGCACGCCACGAATGAAGAGGCTTCCATTCGTGAAAACGAGCTATCCGCAGGGACTCTGACCAATCCTGGAACTCAGGTGGGGAATCAGCATTCGTTTCATATCTGTATGTGTGGTGCGAATGGTCTCTTATATCTTTTCTAAAACTCCTCTTTTGCCCAACGCAACACCAGCACAACACGACAACCTCTTTGTAACAGGTTTAATCAAACTTGAAAGTAAGAGGCCTGGTTGAGCATGCCTCGACCAGTTATATGCAAAATGTGATAGTATACATGTGGCAATGGCGCCAATGAAGGTGCTAATAGACAGGCGTAAGACGCATGAGGTGCGAGGGAGTGTAAAGTTATAGAGAACAGGGGAAAACTGTTACATCATCCCCCTCCTATGGAGAGGAAGGAGCTTATAACCCAAATGCTCAAGTGGAATAGAGTACAATAAGCGCAAACACGTGCGAGACGAAAAAAGGCTTAACACAATAAGACGACTGAAACTCCATGCAAATAAAGTGTAATAAGCTCAACAAATGTGTAAGGTGAAACTAGAGTTCAACTGCAAAACTCAGCGGGCAGAAGCCAAGGTTTTGTACTTCTGAAGTGGAACAATGTCATTACCAGATTCATCCAACAAATAATGTTCAGGCTCCCAAGTGGCATCAGAGTAGCCTTGCCACTTGACTAGGTACTGAAGCTGATTCTGCCGGCGGCGGTGACTGAGAATGTTCTCCACCACATAGCGGGCATGACCATCAAGGTCCGTGATAGGCGGAGGCGTAGGCTGTCTCCTATTAGGAATAGCGTTCTTCTCGTAGGCACGGAGTGCCGACACATTAAATACCGGGTGACAGCGGCTGGTATGAGGCAACTTGAGCTTGTAGGCATTCGGGCCGACCACATGGGTTATAGGAAAGGGGCCAAACCACTTGGGGCGTAATTTATGGGATGGTCGGTCCCGAGCTTCAGGAGTCAGGAGGAAATCCCGGTAGACCATTACCAAATCTCCCACCTTCAGCTTTCCCTCGACCCTTGTCCGATCTGCATAGAAGGCCTGACGGGCTTGAGCTGCCACTAGCGCATCTTGTGAGATCTTGACCGCGTCTTGTCTTGCTTGCAACCAATCAGCTGAATCTCTGCCTCCCTGAATAGGGTTGAGGAAGTCGGGTGGCGCTCTGGGATTTAGACCGTAATTTAAGAAGAACGGTGTGTTTCCTGTAGATGATTGAGTAGCGCTGTTGATAGAAAACTCACAGAGAGGTAGGAGCATATCCCAGTTATCTTGTTTATGATTTACAAAAGCCCTCAGCACATCCTCTACTATTCTGTTTACTCGTTCAGTTAGGCCATCTGTCTGAGGGTGATTGGCAGTACTAAATGCTAGTTTCGTTCCTAAGCGATCAAACAATTCCTGAAAAAATGCTGCCGTAAATCTTGGATCACGATCACATACAATACTAGAGCTCAAACCATGAAGTCGAAATACATGTTGAATATACAGATCAGCACTTCCTTTAGCGTCAATAGTAGAGGAAGTAGGTGCTAAATGTACACACTTTGTCAAGCGGTCTACAAATACATATATAGCATCATGACCTGTATCGGTCCTAGGCAAACCCATGATAAAATCCATCGAGATATCCGCCCACGGCTGACTGGGCACTGGTAAATTCTGCAAGAGACCAGTTTTTAGCTGGCCGCCTTTAACTCGTTGGCAGACGTCACATGACTTGACAAACGCCTTTACATCCAGTCCCATTCTGGGCCAATAGAAATATCTAGAGAGTCTGAAATAGGTGCGATCTCGACCGGGATGCCCCGCAGTCACACAGTCATGGTATTCTTGAAGCAGGGCGAGTCGGAGTTTGCTACTCTTTGGAATGCATAACCTGTTCTGTGGTGAAGATCTGAGATAAAGATAACCGGGTGTTTCATTTAGAAGGTAACGGTCGTGCAGATTGTCATGGCTTGAATTTTTCAGTCTCCTGATAATGGGAGCAAGATCCTTGTCGCACTTGTAACCGCTGACAATTAACTGCGCTAAGTCTGGATTAATCTCTAGGGTATGCTCTATGGCATTCAACTGAATGTTAGGAGGATAGGATGACCCGCCTATTTCAGAATCACTGAACAGATCTGGACGGCGTGAAAGCGGGTCGGCAATGTTTTTCTTTCCTGGTTTGTGAAAGACCGTAAAGTCATAGTCAGCTAAAAACTCTACCCATCTTGCCTCACGCTTGGTGAGAGTCGGTTTGGTTCGTAAATAGACAACACCCATATTATCAGTCATCAGGTCAAAGTGGCGGAATAGATAGATTCTCCAGCACTTTAATGCAAATACCACAGCCAACGTTTCCCTCTCGGCCGCAGTATAGTTGCGTTCTGCAGCTGACAGTTTCCGACTACAATAGGCTACGGGATGCAAATCCATATCTTCTCCCTGCTGCAGGAGCACACCCGCCACGGCAAAGTCACTTGCGTCAGTTTCTACCATGAAGCTTTTCTCAACATCGGCCAGTTGCAACACTGGCGCCTCGAGTAATGCTGATTTTAGAGACTCGAATGCCTTCTGTCTAGCAGCGCTCCATTCAAAGCGTGAATTTTTTCCGGTGATTTCTTCTAATGGACGAGAGATGGTCGAGTGTCGATCTATGAACCTTCGGAAATAGTTTGCAAAGCCAAGAAACTTCCTCACATCAGTTACTGACGACGGAGTTGGCCATGTTTCCACAGCACTTATCTTCTTGGGATCAGGGGAAATTGATGTGCCGTTGATTTTATGCCCCAAGAAGAGAACTTCTCTCACGCCGAATTCGCATTTAGACTGTTTGCAATACAGCTCACTATTTCTAAGTGTTTCTAGAACTGTTTGAAGATGATGCTGATGATCTTCCCAGGTCTTGCTGAAAACTAGAATGTCATCCAAGAATACTACAACGAATTTTCGGAGATGCGGTTGCAGAATAGAGTTCATGAGTGACTGAAAGGTGGCCGGGGCATTAGTCAGCCCGAATCCCATGACTCTAAATTGGAAGTGGCCGAACGGCGTATTAATGGCCGTCTTAGAAACATCCGAGTCTTGAATTCTGATTTGATTGTAGCCTGACCGCAAGTCCAACTTGGAGAAATATGCACTGCCCTGGATCGTGTCGAATAAGTCATCAATATTAGGAAGACAAGCTTTGTTTTTGATCGTAATTCTATTCAATTCTCGCCAATCGCACACCATTCTCAGAGTACCATCCGACTTTTTCACAAAAAACACAGGTGCACCGTATGGCGACTTACTTGGCTCAATGAATCCCTTCTCAAGTAATTCTGATAGCTGTGACTGGAGCTCGTCCATCTCTGGTTTCGGCAGGCGGTAGGCGGGTCGAGACGGTGGTCTGGCTCCATCTTCTATCTGGATTTCATGGTCGACTGGTCTCTTCGGTGGAAGCTCATTCGGCAGCTCGTCTGGAAATAAATCCTGGTACCTCTTGAGCAGGTTCTGGATGTCTTGTTGCTCTGATTCCTGGAGTTGTGGCCCGGAACGATTCTCCTCGTTTACAGCAGTGACCCATGCAAGAAACCCCTCGGCTCCACTCCTCAGGGCATGACGAGCTTGTCGGCCACTGATAAACATGCTTTCCACAGATGGCCGGTCGGCTGTCGGCGGGTTAGCTGAAGGCA